AATGTTCACCTTATGCTGTTTTGTTTTTTACGGAACTGTCAAGGAGATCCTAGCCTGGGAGGGAGGGTGTCTGCCTGTCTGTCTGTCTGCCCGCCTTACGACAACATCCCTGCCCTGTAGATCCCGGGCTGGATGCATCGCCTAAGCGGCCTCAGGAGGTCAAGAGCCCTTGGGACGTAGCTGGAGCCTCCCCTGGGCCCAAACTCATGCCCCACACTATTTCCGGGGTCACATCAGGATGGAGGAGCTGGGCAGGGTGAGTCTGGGGCAGGTCTCGCGGGCACGTGTCCGTGTGTGCATCTCATCCTGCACTCTGCAACCTTCTGTCTTTGATAAGAGAGAGAAATGCTTTCAGAGCACTGTGAAGAACCTCAGATGCCTGTAGGACGATGAAAAGAACACACCAAGCTGGGTATGGGACACATATCTATAATCCAGCACTCTGGAGGCTGAGGCAGGGGGAATCATAAATTAGAGCCCAGCCTGGGCAGTTTACAGTTTCTAAAAAAAAAAAAAAAAAAAAGCCAAGGCCAGCGTCCCCGAGTGTACTGTCCATCTCTGTCACGGGAGCCTGTCGGAGGGGGCCAGTGCCCCAGCGAGAGAGGAGGACACTGAACCCGGAAGTGAAGCAGCTGTTTTCACCGGATTGTTGATTTTTAAAAACAAGAATCTCACTCCTTAAATCCCACTCCCCTATATGCCCTCAAACCAAAGCAAGCAGAAAATCACCACCAAATTCCTACCTGACCATGGCAGATTAAGAAAACAACTTTTGCTGCAGCATGTATCTCAAACAAAAACCAGGCAGGGGAAAACCTGGGAACCATTTTCTTTAATGTTCTAGAATAACTGGTCACGACTAAGTACTGTCTCCAGTTAAACAGGCTCAGCTCACTTGAAACAGGGCACACACTTACTATAAGTAGAACAATGTGTCTGTGACATATCAATATATCAATGAGTACACATCACTGGCAGACTGGTTATAAATGATGCCCCTTACATAGATGACACAGATTCTTAAAGCACACAGGAATTAAGCGCACTTGAGGTTTTCCCATTACGGTATTCCCCTCTGTTACAGAACTTACACAGAGCTCCCTGATTGCCCTGAGCACATTGTCTTGTTGATTTTCTCACGGCAAGCAATTAAGCCTGAAAATAAACTTTTTATTAAGTGTAAAGCTAAATTTATTAAAAGTCATTTATACTGAGCTAGTTCTTCACTGATAATTGAATTAGTAGACGCGTTGCAATTTTTCTTTACCCAAATGTGTTTTTTATTAAAGTGAAGGAAAAAAACCCCACCAATTTTTAAAACGAATATTATCCTTCATCCATTACATCAACCTGGTTCTTACTTGAATCACTGTTGGAAGAAAAACCAGACACACCACCACGCGAGTTGGGTGAACGCGACTCTGAATTCCTGCCACAGTCAGACATTCCCACTCTGGCTCAGAAGCCGTTTTGAGGAAGTAACAGCAGCGCTAACCTTCCCTAAGCAGGGCTAGAAACCCAGCCCCAAGAGTTAGGACACTCCTGCCTGGAAAGCGGCTGTCAATTCCATTTTTGCAAAGCCTATGCTGACTATCTTGTTAAATGGCTGCAAAGCTTCACTAGGACCCTGGTGCGGATACCGACATTTTTAATTCTAATGACTGGATCTAGAAAAGGATATGTACTTAAATGTGTCCTACTTGTCTTTAAATATTCTCACTATACAAGGTTAAAAACTGGTACGAAAGCAGTCTATTAAGCCTGAGTATTAAGGCCGGGTGAGGTAACACATGCCAGTCATCCCAGCACTCAAGAGGCTGAGGCAGGAGGATCGTGAGTTTGAGGAAAGCCTGAGCTACACAGTGACACCGTATCTCTACAAACAAAACAAAACAAACAACATCTTGAATATCTGTATTAAAAAACGGGGTATTATATAACCAAAGGATAATCTTTAATATCTTTTAATCAGAAATTAGTTCATGTAAGGGCTGGGTTGTCACTCAGTGTTAACAGTGCAGGTGGCCCCAGGTTTGTGAAAGAAAAGGAAAAAAAGAGAGACAGTTCACTAACCTTTACTTGGTTCACAGGACTCCTCTGCCCCTCACTTTATGAAGATAAATTAGTTCCATTATACAACACTTAGGAAAACAGACAACAGCAAGACCTACACATGCAAGCTTCAGATTCAAATTCTTTGCGAATATTTTTCTAATTTTTTTCCCTCCAATATTTAATTTTTGCTTTTTCTTTTAATCAGTAGCACCCAATGAGTTTTAGTTTTATTTATTTGTTTGTTTGTTTATTTATTTTTTGGTATGGGGGATTGAACTCGGGTCCTTCCGATTTCGAGGTAGGCAGCGGAACCACTGAGTGAAATCCCTGGCCCAAGTTTTAGTTTTAACCCCTGCAGACATACACTTCTCTGTAGACCAGTGTCAATGACGTTTATTCAAATAGCTGAGCTTAGCTCCTGTGGAAGCTTGCTTTTATCAACAGCATTCATTTCCCAAGCAGAAGCTTTCACATCATCTCTGTGGAAAAGCCACATACCACAAATAATTCCTAATCCGTAGAAAACTGTGTACATTTATAAGGCAAAGGGAGATACAAGGATTTACTTATGAAAGGTATTACGGAAATGTGTGGCTTTCCTGTAATTCCATATTGTTAATAATTATAGGACTGCAACTGAGCTCTAACTGATCAGTCGTCAGTTAAGCCATCTTGGACATCTACCCTCTTACTGCCGATCAGAAACCTTAAAAAACAAATCAGCAGCTCTGGACCGGTCAGGCCTGAAGATAGGCACGCATTCCTGCTGTGGAACAACTGCAGGCTGCCGGCCCCAGACCCTGGCTTTTAAGTCTCAATACCTTGCTTGGCCTGTTTTGCACATTCCTTGCGATAAGTAGATTCGTCTGGCTATTGGATCTAACTTGAGGCTAAAAAAGTGAAAACTGGCATATTGCACTGTAATAAAATATCCTGTGTACCGCAAAGGAGCAGAAAGACATTTGTCCAGAGGGTGATTTTTGTTCATTAAAAAAGCAAATTAGAATGTGGTTGGCAAAGAGCGCTCTGACTTCATTCACTTACAGGAGATGATGGTTAGATTCCTAACGGAAGTGGAGTGGAATCCTACCCCGCACACTGGGAAAAAAATCGTAATATATCTCACCCTGTCTCAAACGAGGTGCAGCTGGATTCTAACCCGGTGATGGTGCCCCACCTTCCCTAGGTGGCTGGATCCCACACAGATGAACAGCAACCTGCAGTGCCGGAGCCCACGACCGAGGCAGTGACAGAAAGTAACCAGAAACATCACTGCCTGGAAATACCTACGGTCATCACCATGCACTGTCAGGAAAACTGCTTTTATAGAATTGCATATGAAACTTGAAAAGTGAGATTCCTTCACTTATTATTTAATAGAAAACTTGAAAAAAAAAGATTTGGCTTTCCTAAAGCATGGCCACTACTTGGTTCCATCGTTCTTAAAAATAATTTATGTAAAGCAGGTTTTTCCCTAAATGCACTGTGCACTCCAGGTACACACTGAAGATGGTATTTGCATATAGCGAGAGCATGCACTGATACACACATGGTAAAAACTTAACAAACACGGACTGCATAAATCAGTAGCTGATTTTAAATATCCACCAACTTAAACAGATTTGTTTTCAATTTCTGAGTTTCTCAGGTAGAAAAGATCTTTCCTGCTGGCTGCGGCTCTAGATGTGTACACTCTGTGGAATGTATAGAAATGCTTCCCACACAAACAAAGGAAGGCAGGCCCCAGGATGTTGGTATTCTAACCTCGCCTTTGCTATTAAACATCTACCCGACAAACTGGATGGGGACCGGCGAAATCAGTCTGTCATGCTACAGTAAACATGATATTTTGTGTGCTGCCCGACATTTTTCCTCATGAATATAAGTTGCCTGCCATTTATTACGAGATTTTTCCCCGATTGACACCCCATTATGTATATTCAGTCAAGCTCAAAGGAGATTTCAAGTGATCAATATACTATTTGTGCTGAAAGTCTATTAGCAGCTCTAGCAATAAGCTCTGCAGAGAAACAAAAATAGATGTGATATTTAGTGAACTGAATTACACAGAAATCCATGTTCTGGGCAAGGGGGCAAGACAGGCAGACAGAAAAGCAAGGGGCAGGAGAAGATAGGAGAGATGTCTGTCCTAATAAAAATCAGCTTTCTGGTGCCTGATCACTGATGAAGCATATTAAATGCCCGAAATATTTTCAAAAATACTTTAAATTACATGCTGAGATCTCCAAAGAGGCAGGGAGGGACCTAACCCCACACAGGTCCCTGCTTAAGGAAGCAGCCCTTGGCATCCACAAAATGGAGAAGGCAGATCCAGCTCCAGGAATCTATAGAATCCCACGCTGCCCATCATCTTGGGGGAAGCAGCAAAGGCTTCCTGCGTGATTTAACACATTCCACGTTACAACTTCCGGGACTGATCTTAATGTGACCCTCCTTGGGCAGGCTGAAGCCCTGGGGTCAGTGGGTGTGGAAGGACAGTAAGCACAGGACTCCATCTGGGAGAACTCTGCTCCTGAGCCTGGGTGTGTCCATACACCAAAGCCATCTGCTTGAGGACAAAACAGGCGAGCAGGGCCACCCAGAAATCTGCAGGGCCACCTGGAAATCTGACGTGTGGGGAGGTGACAATTCAGCATAACCCAATACAACAGGTGCAGTCTGTGACGGCGGGAAACAGTGTGGCAGGGAGAGCAGAGGAGACCAGTCCCTCCATGAGGGGCCGTGTATGAACTCACACAACGGCGGAAGGAATATGTTCCCATAGGGTATTCATCCCCACCCCGGAGGGTGGGGGGGGCGATACAGCCTCCTTCTAGACCTTTACGCACCTGGAGTCTTGAGCAGAAGCATGAAAAAGGGGAAGAACGGACTGTACAGATCTCCGGAAAACATCGACACTAAATTATTTGCTTTGCTGCACTTACATTTTGATCCCCTCTCAGGCAGAAGAGCTGAGTCGCTATCCACTGGATCAGAGGTGTACCTGCAAGGCACAAATGTGTAGATCACTAGCAGTCTGGGAGTCGGCAAATTCCACAAGCAGCAGAGGCCTGCAGTGGCCTGACCAAAGGAGATGCATTCTGCACTGCATCAGAACAGAAGCAGTTTCTCATGATATTTTGAGTCCTGAAACCCAGAGGGGGACACCTTTTAAATCAGTAAGCTAGAAGGTAACATAGGGCGAGGAAGCCACTTTACTGCCTACCAGAGCCCAGAAGCCACGGAGGAGGAGACGAAAGCCCTCCTCCTCGCCAATGCGCCTCCTTAACAGGCAGAACCGAACCATCCTAACGAGCAATTCTCCTCTGTGTAGGATGAACGTGTATGTGGGAAAATGTGCACACCCTAGCACATTCTGGAATTTTGCAGAAACGTATGTGCAAGTATTTACTGACACATAAACGGAAAGGAAAAGCAATTTCTAAGTGGTTTGTTTGAAGGCTGGTCCCTACTGCTTCAATTTAACATGCACACTGACAACATGTAAGCACATTAATTTTTAAATACATATAACCAGGGATACTACTGGCCCTATAGCTCCTTGCAGTAAGTAGATTGGCAAGCCATATTTTCTGTCCATTCCTTATAAAACACACATAATGTGGTATCTTCACAGGGAAAAAAGTCAATTCACGCCTAAAAGAAGCCAGACGTCACATGCCCCTCCCTGGCCTGTGACATTGTCCTGGGTCCTGAAAAAGCGTGTGGCTATTAACACCATCTCTGGTGGCAAAAAATAAGATTTGCTGTTGGAGTCGAGAGCCAGGTGTATCCAGCCTGCCCACTGCTGAGAGCTGGGAGCTCTGGATGGCTCTTCCTGCCATGCTGTGCATGCGTTCACTGTCAGAATTCGGGGAGGTGCTGTTCTGGAACCTTCATACACTGCAATTACTGTGCCATCAGGACAGCCAACTTCCGTGAGATAATTACTGCGCATCCTAGGAAAAGACCCTCTTCGGGAGCGGGCTCCCAGTGCTGAGCAAAGCACCCAAGCTGTCCTTCCAATTCGATTCCTGAAGCCACCACTGGAATTTATTTTGACTTTAGAATGACTTGGTCACAGGCACTGTACCTGACTGCATATTCCCAGTGACTCTCAAAGACCTGAAGGTGCCGGCATTTGTAGGTGTGGTTGCGGATTTAAGAGAAGGAGAAAATAATACAGGAGGGGGGAAGCACAGGATGGTTTCAGCAGCCTGGCACTCACATGATTAGCTCTGAGGACAATGGGCAATGGAGAAGGACCTCACACTGGAAAACCACTGAGATACTCCCTGCCGGTCACCACACTCAGATGCAGAAATGCTTTCACTCATTCACTCATTTTCTTGCTTTAAATGATTTATTTACCTTAAAAATGGATGGCAACCTCAAGAGGGTATCCTCCTGAAATGTTCTCTTTTGAAAAAGGAAAGGAGAAAGTCTTTGTATCTCCCTTGCTCTTGGTCAGACCCGCACTCTGCAGCAGACGATGTGGGCGAGCTTGGCTATGACAGTAAGACCTGTGAATTCCTAATGCCCCTTCCTTCAGAGCAGCTCAACATTTCCTTTCCCCTGGATTTGAAATGCAACCTCCTTGCCTTGTGGTAGAAACGGCCTTTCTCTAACCTGACGTGATGCCGAGCTCTGTGTGAAGGACCTAGCAGGAAAGGGTAAATTCATTCATCTATTTCTTGGTCCAATTCTGCGTCTCTCACCTCACTGAGATACCAGGGTCTTGGCTATACCACAAGCTGGTTTATTCCATGCATTGCCTGAAAATGAGCTCCGTCTTCCTTAAAAAAAAAAAAACTTATGAAGAAAAATTGATGAAGAATACCAAAGCAAAAATAACTCTTATGGGCTTCAGGATACGCTTTGATACTTGTCTCTCTGATCATGCATCTCGGGTGCAGGATCTTAAAATTTGGAAGTGGCTCTTGCTTCATATCTCTTTTCCGTCAGAATCAACCTCTCAAAGTTAAACAGACATTTTAACAAGCTGACAGGTGAAATGGAATAACAGTGCTTTCCAGACCTACCTATGGATCAAAGCCTACCCTCCAAAATGTTAGTAATTATTTCCATCAAGACAACACCCAAGCTGAGACGCTGCCTCCCCTGCACCACTGCAATTGTTGAATTCCTCTCATGGTCTTTCATGCAGATGCTCAGAAACAGGGTGGGGCTCCCTGGGCTGGCAACGCAAGGTTAAGGGAATCTGTGCAGTAAAGAAAACGCAATTAATCATATTCCGGTTTCTAGCATGCTTCATAAATGCCTTGAAAACACGGTGTTGCAAAGAGGGCCACAGTTTCTAATGTTGGAGTTTGGATGAAAACCTTTGTGTCAGAGCAGATATGCTCTGCACAAGCATGGATGGCAGGCAACAAATGAAGGTGACAAGTCAAGGAATCCAGAAAAACCTCCGTGGAGGACACCAGCTTGTCTGTTGGTGGACATCTCTGTTGATGCTTAAATTTGCTTTTCATTTTATTTTTTCTTTTGCAAGTACAGTTCAAGTCTGCAAGGCAAATCCGACCCTGCTGAGCCGTGCTGTCTCCCTCATGAGTCAGCAGAGCACTGAGCAGTTGAAGGTGCTGCTCAGAGCTGCCTCGGGACACACCCATTTTACTAATCTTGACTCTGATCCATTAAAAATCATCTCTATGCCAGTCGGTTCTGACCTCTGCACTTGCATGGAACACTGCACCTTCTGCCTCCACCTCCAAAGACCAGCTCCCAGGTGCATGCTCATACCCTTCAGCTCCTCTGCTCAGTGCAATTGGATCAGGGCTAATTTCTTCCTCAATGGGCAACTCCTGCTTCATTTTCTCTCCAGTCTGCATGCTATCAGCTTGACATTCTGTTCAGTGGCATATGACAAATCAAATTGGCCATCATTGCACTCATCAAAGCAGGATGTTTTCTATTTCCCAAGCCTGCTTCCTCCACTGCTGTTACAGCCACGGACACACCAAAAAAAAAAAAAAAAAAAACGTCTTAAAAAGTACTCAGTGGGCCCCCAGTGCAGAGGAGCAGAGCCTCGATCAGTGCAGAGGTTCTGCCACCTCCCGTCCTCTAACAGGATCCCAAGTTTGATGATCCCCAGCAAAAAAAAAAAAAAAAAAATACGTCTTTCGTCCCCCCTCCCGCTGGTTTTCTTGGTTTTTGTTTCGATGGGGAAGACAGGGTGGTAAGAAATAATGAATGGATACAACTCATCCTAAAGAAAGGAAAGCAACACGGTAGCTGTAAAGCCAAAGGCACCGCCGCAAACTATGATTTAAATGCCTACACCTTTAATTTAAAGCATTCATCCCCCAATGCAGATACCAGCTTTGAAAAACTTTACCACAACGCGAAGTCCACTCTTTTTCACATCTCTTTGCATGATTCAGCACTTTTAATGCTAATTTCTGCCCCAAAGTTCAAAGGTAAAGGACCATCTTCTGGGTGCCCCAAAGCCTCGCTCGCTCCTGACCGAGCCACCTGCGCTTCTGGACTGCAGGGGCGCAGCAAAAATGCAGGGGTCCCTGCCTCGCCGCCGAAGCGCCTGCGCCCCCCGCAGCGCCAGCGGGCTCCCTCTGGGGCCGGCACCTGAGCGGCTCAGGAACGAACGACCGGCCGCAGAGGCTTCGACCTACCCCAGGCTGGTCCTTGGGGCAACCGCGCTCGCACGCAGGCAGGCGCGCTTGAGTCCCCCGCCGGCCCCGGTCCCCGCGGCTTGCGCTCCCACCTGATGGGTCTCCCGACCTTTGTCTGGCATCTCGAGGCCAGCGCTTCTGGAAGCCCTTCCCCCAGACCCAAGCTCGGGCAGGAGCGGGGGGGCCCGGACAGGAGGCCGGGGAGGCGAGACCTGGGACTCGCGCCGCGAGCTGGACCCAGACACCTCTGGGATCCGCGGACTCCGAAGTCCCCGAGCGTTCCCGCACGGCCCACGCAGCACTGGGCACTCACCTGGCAGGCGCGTCCCAGCTTCGGCGGCATCCGACCTCGGCGGGCGAGTCCCGCGCAGGGCCAGGCCGGGCGCGCCCTGCGGGAGCCGCGATCCTGCAGCCGGCAGCCGAGCCGCGCGCGCCCCGGGTCCGCGCCGAGCCGGAGCGAGCGGGCGAGGGCGCGGGCGGGGCCATTTGTAACCCGGCAGACGCTACCACCGCCCTTCCTCGCGGGGGGCGGGGGCGGGCGGGCGTCAGGTGACGGCGCCCACCCCGCGCCGCCAGCCCGGTGGTTCCTGCCCGGGAGGAGCCCCCTGGCGCGCGCTGATTGGAACTCCTGCCGCCGCGCGGGGGCGGGACACGTGACCGGGGCGGGCGCCCCCTCCCCCCGGCCCAGGGCACCCCATCTTCCTCCCGGAAAAGCCGGGGGACACAGGGAGGCGGGAAGCGCGCGGGCGCGGGAGAGCCGCCCAGCCCCTCGCCGCAGTGCCGGCGACAGCCAGGGCTCGCCCGGCCGGCCGGGCTGCAGGACCCGCCCCCACGGCTGCGGGCGCCCGCAGTGTAGACCACCGCGCCCCGCGGGGCCGCGCTCTGGAGCGTGCAGCTTGCACCCCGACGCACTGCGCCCCAGCAAACTCGCGGCGCTGCTGCGACCGACCCGGGAACCCGACCACGCCCCGGGTGCTCGACCGCTCGGGGACGCGGGGACCACGGCCTGCGGCCTGGGAGGTGGCACCGCAGTGTGGCTGCAGGAAGCAGGCGTGTGCAGGGGCGAGGGCGGGCGCGGGTGTCGATCCGGTTCTCAGCCGCCGGAACGCGCTGCTAATAAAGGTCAAATTCAAGCACAGGAGCCGGTCGCTCCTCAAGGAGCCCCGCTTTTCCCTGCCCGGGCTGCGTGTGACGGCCCCGGCCCCCTCCGCGGCCGCGCCCCGGGATGCGGGGCTGGGAATGCGGTGTCACGTCGGCCGCGCGCCAGCCGCGTCTGCGCCGGCCCCGAGCGCGGGGTATGGGCCGGGCGCGCTCAGAGCAGAGTCCGCGGCGCCGTCTGCAGGACTAGGCTCCTGCTCAGGCTCCCTGCAAACTTCTGTCCCCGGGAGTTCTGTGCTCGCCCCGGTGGAAGTGCGGTGCCCACCGAGCGGGGCTCTGACTTCGGCCCCAACTTGGGCCTGTCGCACCTCCATCCCATCCAGGGGGCCTTTCCAGCTGCAGTGGGACTCGACACGGCCACACCCGGGATCCTGGCCCGCTTTCACTTGGGCCTCGCCAGGCACAGAACAAATATCCAGCAGGTTCACCTGGAAAGGGGGTCACTGTACGGCCGGAGAGAGAACCCTGAGGCGCCGAAAATCGGGGGTGGCCAGGTGGTGGCCTGCAGTGGAGAGAGCCGCCCTTGCTACCTTGCTGAGGACCGGCTTCTTCGCCAGGTGGACGCCTTGCCACCCTTGAGTCCCCCCCCGCACCCCACTTCTCCAAACCACAGAGTGAGGAAATCTCGTAAAGTAGAACTCGGTCGGGGAGGTGGAAGAAATACCCGTTTTTTTAAAAAAAAATACGCCTCTTTAATAAGGAAGATGGGTACCTTTTCCATCTCCAGGCGTTAATTTTGATGTCACCGCCACCTTAAACTAGGTCGGACAGGACGCGAGAACCCTAGGGAGCAGGGTGCAACAGTTTTCACAAATAAATGGGCATCCTCGCCACGCCTCTGCGCAGCTATGTCCGCAGGATCAAGACTTTCCCGGATCGGGCCCCGCGGGAAACCTTTTGCTGCCCGGGCAGGTCTGGCGGGTATTCGAGTTTAAAACCTCTTCTCCCGGTGGTGACTTCGCGAAGGCAGCAAGGCAGCGAGCACCAACGCAAAGCCTCCAGGGGACGTACTTTAACTTGAGCCCTGGGCCGTTTTTGCTGGAAGAGCCGTGTGGGGCGCGCCTGGGGATGGCCGCTTGGTCATGGCTGCTTGGTCCTCGCACCACGCGCCCACGGTCCGAGCGGGGCGGGGGCCACCGACTCGGCGGACGGACACGGGCGGAGTCCTCCGCCTGCTGGTGGGAAGGACCGAGGGGTCATGCGCAGGGACTGGATGAAATCGGGCGGGCCTCCGAGGTCATCCATATACAGGGTCACACACGACCCCCGAGGGGGAGCGAGCGACCCTGACCCGGGCTCGGCTCGCGCCCCACCCACTGGGGGGAGGGCGTCGCGGCCCCAGGCGCTCAGCCTCCTCGCGTGTCGCCGTCCCGAGCTTCAGCGTCCTCCGGTGGCGCTGTCCGGGGTTTATGGAGACTCGTGTGGGTGGCTACGCCTTGGGGCTGTGAGACGCAGCCTCGTGGCGACTTGGGGCTGGGAGGGTCCCAGAGTGAGGTATCGGTCCTGGTTTGCAACCCAAGTGAAGCTCGCAGTGCCAGCGGTGCGTGGGGTGGGGCGAGGTGGGAGCGTCAATGGCACGGTGGGGACACGCGGGGCGCGCTCGATGGGGAGGCTCCCAATCTTGGGCCGCAGCCCCTGCGAATGGACTCGACTCCCGCCGTGCCGAGGTCGCGGTCCCGCATGAGGACACCCAGTGGCCTCCATCGCCACCCGCACAGCCCTCGCGGCTTCCCACGCCCCTTCCCCTGGTCCCTGGAGCACGGGGACCGCAGTGCTCGCGGCGGGCACCGCCAGCCTCCAGTGCCCCCGCCCCCGGCCACACCACGCTCACCCCAACAGGACGGCGACGCCCCTGCCGCGCTCACCCCCGGCCCACCCACGAGCAGCCCGCCGCTGCCACAGGGTCCTGGCGTCCCGGGCTGGCTGCGCGCGGTCCAACGTCCGCAGCGCCCCCACCCCGTCCGTGTCGGTCCCCGCCGTGACCCCAGGGCTGGGGTTTGGCCACTTGGGGAGCCCCTTCGTGCCAGCCCCACGCCCAGCCGTCCCCGCACAAAGCTCAGCGTCCCGGCTTCCCACGCCAGAGCGGGAGCGGCCCGGGCTCAGGGAGGGGGCGCGTGGGGAGCTCGCGGTCCCGGCTGCGGGGCGCGCACCACGCCACAGAAAGGAGGCGGGCGGCGCGGCGCCTCCACGCCCACTGCCCCGCGAGTGCGCGCCCCGGCCTGCAGTGCTGCCGGGCGGCACCGCGGGGATTTCCGGGCGCCCCGCCCTCCCCGCGTTCGCAGCCCCCGGCGAGGCTGCCACAGACCCTAGCCCGCGCCGCCGCCGCTGCCGCGGGGAGGCCCTGGCGCCGACCTCTGCGCGCCGCACCGATCTCTGCCCAGGCGTGCGCGGCGCGCTCGGCCCTGCGCCCGCCGCCCACCCCTCCGGGAGCCCTGCGTGCCCGGCTCCGCGCGGCGCCTCGCTCGGGCCTCGCCCTCCGCGCTCCCCGCCAGCTGCCCGGGCACCCACGCCCACCTCTGTGCACCTGAGCGCGGGTCTCTGCCTCTCCAGCCGGGGACCCCAGCCCCCCTGACGGCGAGGTGAGGGCGGCACTTAGAAGCCAGGTGGGGTCCCAACATTTGAGAGCTGCCCTGCCCTCGCGGGCGAGAAGTCGGCACTGTAATTTCAGCCAGAAACACACAGCCCAGGAACGTTCACACATGTTAAAAAAGAAAGAAAAAAAGAACGTATTTTGAGATAGCCGTAGACTCACAAGCAGTTTTAAGAAATAATAATATGCAGAGGTCTGTGCACCTTTTACCCGTTTCAGACGCGTGATACAAATTCACAGCCAGGATATTAGCGCGATACCATCCCCCACGGAATGTGGATTCCGCTCTTGCTGCTCCTTACACGCCTCCACTCCTTCTTCTCCCTCCCCCTCTGTCTCGGTAATTAGTTCTGCACAATTCTTGCGCAGGTGAGATTTCATGTCCCCACCGCCACAGTGGAGATAAAGAACCCCGCATCTTTCTTCCTGTCTTTCATAGCTGCACCTCCCTGAGGGGTGGGGGGAGCCCTTTTCCCCAGTTTTGTCATTCCAGGAATGTCAAATAAATGGAATTATGTAATAATGTAGTCTTTGGGATTATCGTTTTTGATTCAGCAGAATTCCCTTGACATTCATCCATGTTATTGTGTGTAATTTGTGGTTCATTCTTTTACATGACCAGATAATATTGATGTGTGCAGGTACCCATATGTAAGTAGTTTAACTATGCACTTCTTGAAGAGTTGCTTATAGGATTTTGGCTAATACACATAAAGCGGCTATGAACATTAACGTCCAGGTTTTGTGGCAACATGAGACTTCACTGGGGGTAAATGCCCAAGAGGGCCATTTCTGGGCCATATGTGAAACACAATGTCAGTTTTACTAGAATCTTTCATACTCCAGGATGCCTGTACCATTTTATTCTCGACAGCAATGAGAGAGGTAGCCAGTTTCTCCTCATCCTTGCAGGTATTGGTGGTGTTACTGTTTTTTAATTTTAGCCACGCTGATAGATGTAGTACTATCTCAGGGAACTTTGCATTTTTCTGGTAGCCAACAATGTGGAACACCTTTTTTATGTGCTGATTTGCTGTACCTCTCGTTTTCTTTCTCCTTTCTTTTTGTGAAATGCTTGTCCAAGCCTTTGTTTATAATCTAATTAAAGAGCTGTGTTTGTTTCGTTGTTTTCCCCTGTTGGAGTTTGAAGAATTCTTCGTGTATTCTAGAACAAGTCCTTTGGAGTCCTAATTTTTCTGTCCATCCTCTTCACGTGTGCTTTTGCAGAGCAAAAGCTTCCAGTCTTGATGAGAATCAAACTTTCATTGGATGGGTTTTGCTTTTGGTGTCAGGTCTGAGGACTTTTGCGTATCTCTAAATACTGAAGATTTTTCTCCAGTTTTAAAAGTAAGTTTCATGCTGCACATTCAAGACTATGATGCATTTTGAGTTAATTTGTGAAGTTTAGGTGGAGGTACATTTATTGCCTATGGATACCCAGTTCTAGCATTGTTTGTTGAAAAGGCTAATGGTTCTTCCTCCATTGAATTGCTCTTGCAAGTTTTTAAAAAATAATGAGTTGGCATCTTTATGTGGATCTATTTCTGAGTTCTCAATTCTATTCCATCAGTCTCTATCTGTCCCTTCTCTACCACTGTTTTGATTACTGTACCTATAGTAAATATTAATATCAGAGAGAATTGTTCCTCCCACTTTCTTCTTTTTTGAAGATTATTT